AGGATGATAGCTAAAAGCTTTCGAATACTCGTAAAAACTTTCCTTACTGAGTCTGGCTGCCAAATTCAAATATAAACCCGATGCGAGTCGTCGTTTTGTAAAATTTTTGGCTACTAATATTTTAAAACGTGTTCAAGGAGATGGCTAAGGTAGATGTTGTGGAAAATTTACGATCTCATAGGCTAAATATATGTTTTCGAGGTCACTGAAAACGATTTGACCATTTAGTATTATCTACAATCAAAAATTCTTGAGAAATTCAAAAGGAGAAAACAATATAAAATTTTCACTTTTAGTGCATAATACTTATTTATTTGTTTAATCTTTAATAACTGTACTTTAGCCAAACCTAACCAAAATTTTCTATGCTTGGGTAAAGTTAATGTGTAAGGAAAATCTAATAATTTATTGGGTACCGAAAAAGAAGAGATTTTATCGCAAATGAAAATTCAGTATATCGGTATCGCGATGTTCTAAATTCACAATATCCGATACCGATATATCTACTAAAATAATATCGATATATTGAATATCGGAAATATCGAAAACGAAATGGCTAATAAAGGTCCCTATTATGAGTTGCATTCGATCTTCGACTGTGGTCGAAAGTGCTGAGCGAACGAATTTTCATTTGGTATTATGGCGCTCATTCGATGAAGAATAGCGCTATTGTGAATTTCGCTCGTTTAGGTTGTTCACAATAGTATATTTTTTTACCGCTGAGAAGCTTTGTTTGCAGATCGAGCAAACTAAACAGCGTGCTTATACATATATATATATATATTTGTGCAAATTAAAATGAAATAAAAAAGAAAGCGAGTTTATAAAAGCGTGGTAAATAAAATTTAATTAGCACAACGGAGTTCTGGTTGAACGATTCGTCAGAGGATGAGGGCTTAAAAAACTGGCCAGGAGCAGAAAACGTGAGAGTTTAAGTGCAGTCTTTCGAATATATTTTGACATACAATATATTTAAGAAATTTTGTGATCCAAATCTATCTAAAATATATTAAAACTATAAACAGCTCCATGATTTTGTTTTCAGAGATCGTGCCAACAGCGTATAGGGATTTTCTTTCATAAGTAAAACCAGACTTTCGAGCTTGTGTTTACTATTCACGACGTTAGAACTGCTTGAAATTAATACAAATTGTTTAAAATTAGTGTCTAGCCGCCAAAAAGTAAGAAAACAAATGCAAAATCATAAAATTTTTACATTTTCTATCATTTCGCTACGCCAACGAAACCAAAATTCTGTTCGACAGAAAATTCGATACTCAACGAAAATTTCGACACGCGCAAGCGTAATACGAATTTCACTTTCGATCTTCGATAGCCAGCGAAGATCGAAAATCGAATGCAACTCATAATAGGGGCCAAAGATTTTTTTTTTTGGCACCACGTATATTTGTAATTAAAAGGCTAATAAGCATAAATTCAAATAACGAAGTTACTTTGGATAAGATTCACTTTAATTGTGGTATTCACAATGGTGTCGTAAGTGTCGTATTGTTGTATTTTCGCAAACTTTAAACGCCTAAAAAATATGTTAAGGGGGTTCGCAAAGTACGATCCAAGTCATATTATGAATTGGTGTAGTGTTAAAAATAGTTGGTTGTCGTTTCAAGTTCTCTAAACATTTATTTAAGCTTTTAAAGTTTGCGACATACAAAATACTATACTTACGACACCATTGTGAATGCCTCAAATGAGTTTGGAAAAATAGTAACCAGAGTTCTGCAACTTTGATTTACCCCTCCTCACAAGCATGTCTAGTACTTTCAAAAAGACACACCTTTTCATACGTACATATGTATTTCTAAATGTAAAGTACAAATAGAACCATTCAACGGGGTTTCCAGATAGCCTCAAAAAACAGAATTTTTAAGTTTTTGTTCGGTATACAAAATTTCATGATCAATTGAATCTGGTAAAGCATAAAATGCCATACAGCAGCTCTGGTTTGTCTTGGTTAGCTAATATTATTTTTATGCAAGAAGTATTTTGCCTTTGCTATAGATTTTCTTGAAGAAACAAATTTACGAGCATTTATTTATTGAAAATTGCAAACTGATTTAAGCAATTTTGATATTTTTAGGAATTTTTTTTCTTCATGGTTACTATGCCAAAAGCCTAGAGAACGTGGAGATTTCAAATATCGAAACAAAATATTGTATCGATATCGTATCGCAACACCTGATATCGATATAAATTAACCAATATGTTGAACAACGATATATATATATTGAATATCGTATCGGTATCGCGCATCCCTAAATGAGATAGTAAATCTCTGTCAGGGAGCGTCACTATATTCGTTGACAGCCAGGCGGCATTGAAAACCTAGGGCTGCAAGGTAGTAAAATCTAGAGCAGTTCGGTAATGTCGTGCCTGTGTTCCTGGAATATAGCAATATAGAATGAGAGCACTGTCAAATTCAATCAAACTTTTTTAAATACATTTTGATTACGAATCTACTATTGAAATTTTTTGAGCACGCGCAAAAATGAAAAATAAAAATTAAAAGCATACCTTTACTTGAAGTTCCAAGTCCCAAGGAGACTAATCAAGTTTATTTAGATGCCAGTTTTTCATTTAATCTGAAATTGAAGGAATCAGACCTGGATATTACATTTCTTGAAGGCTAACTGCAGGCGTTACAGTAAAAATTCAGATTCCTTTAAAAATGGTGTCAGGTATTTATTATTAGTATTTAATATTTTTTCGGCCATATTGCATTCATTTATTTGTATTTTGAGAAACTAATACGTTTATTAGGCTAGTACAGTTAGTTATTCTATCTTCTAATGTACGCTCCAAATTGTCTTAATCTGTATTCAATATTTCCTCCGATTGTGATTTTAATATAAAGGGATGAGCAAGATGAAAGATTTGAAGAACATTTTTTCGTCGAGAGAGCTCCGCTTTTCAATTGGTCACTAAGCTCAAAGCAACACTTGTTAGAAAAATAACTGACATTATGGATGATTCCAGGTAAACTACTTAATAAATAAATAAATCCTTCCTGTTTGCAGTCCCTTGCGATCATGTTGACTTGTTAGGTTCTGAAATGACTGCAATCTTTTCCTTTTATTTGGTACCGTTAAAATTGTATAACCACCGATATGTATGTACATAAATACGATTTTGATATAAGGCTCCAGCCATGTCCATTTAAATTTTAACATAACAGAAAAGCGATATTTGGTTATTTTGCGATGAACAACACGTATGCCACTTTAATTAATGCTTATGATTTCCAGCCACTAGTGCATTCGTACATTCATTTTCATGGCCACATACAAATATGGCGGAGATCAACTGTAACTACTAAGTACGCTGAAGGCACGCCTTGTGAAAAGTCACCCAGTTCCACAGACAGCTACTTAATTTTTATTTGCATTAGGTCACATCCGTGCACCAAAAATTAGAACTAAAGTAGGTACCTCAACACGCGATATCACGTGCCACGTATGAATAACTCGTGGAAAGTGTCTGCCGTGTTGAAAATTTGGCTAACATAGCCGAAAGAATTTATATATCTAAAAAATTGATATACACATGTATGTACATATGTATGTATGGTCGAGTAGGCATTTGTTTGATGTACGAAGCTTTTTCGCCGCATTGTGAAATTTAAATTAGTTTTTG